CATGAGGTTGAGGAAGATAAAAATGTTTGAATTAGTGATCACCAAAACCGTCCTCCTAATAGTGTGGGAACAAAAACAACATTTTTTGTTTCCCGCTTTTACTTGGTAAAACAAAAAAAATAAGAATAGAAACAGCTAAAGTTGTTTTGGTTTTCTTGTATTTACTGTTTTCAAAATGAAAATTGAAAACTCATTAACCAAACAAGTTTTATTGTTTTGAAAATATTAAAATAAAAAATTATTTTTAAGAATAGAAAACAAACAGGCTCTTAGACTCTCATTTTCTCTCCTACTCAACCTTCTTTTCAAAGAATGTTGTTTGCTGTGAGAAGTGAGAACCAATAACCAAGTTGTAACTCTATTCCCGCATATGACAGTACATCGTCTCAACCTCCCAAGTAAATTTTCCCTAAAATCTAGTTTATATATATATATTAACTAATATTATTTTATAATGATTTTGTCAATTAATTTATCTATGCACAAATTACAAATGAAAGTTATTGACTAACCCATCTTAGTTAACAACATTTTTCAAAATTTAATAAATAATAGAACACAATAACATAATGCAATCTAATAACCAACCTCATTTGATAAGATAAGACTTATTGCCAATATTATATGTGTAGAGTACATACTAGTTAGTGCTCAGGAATTTAAAAATACTCCCGATGTTCTCAACACAACAATGTGGTTATTATAGAGGGCTACACCACCATATCAATTGTGACCCTAATAATTCTCGTCTACAAAAGGGAGTATTTAAAAGAATAATACATTGTTGTAAGAGTCTTATGCGACTTCATAGAAGATGATGTATCGTCCAACACATAAGTCTCTTACAACAATGTATTATTCTTTCAAATACTTCGTCAAGAATTATTAAGATCATGATTCATATGATAAAGTAACCCTCTATGATAGCCAAACTGTTACGTGCCTAGAATAAGCATTTTCAAATAGCAAAATTCAAAAGGTTAAAATTCAAATTACCAAATGATAAATAATGATAAGTATTAAATTTATTAAAAACAAGTAAAAAACTTGCATCTCCTGTCAAATAAATATGATCTAATTTTGATACATTCGTCCAATCATTCAAAAGGGCATCGGAAACAAAAATGTTTTCATGCTCATTTTTGTAATGACATAATCTACTAACACGCATCTCAGCGTTACCTATATTCCAACAAAACCAGAGTGAGGATTCTGAATATAGAAAAGATGGATGGTTCGAGGATTGTGGCCTGCACGCTTGTTTCTGATTAACCAGAGTAAGGTACAGAGCTCTTTTCCTAATAAAAACCTTCCTTAACATGGGAGTTATCTCGCATAAAGTTGATTAAGCCCCACGTTAAGATCTCAAGATATGAATCTACACAAATCACACTATTACCAGACATGACCCCCTAAATTACCTGACTAGACGCATCAGCTTTCCAATTTCTTAATCCTAATCCACTGTTCTCCAAAACTCTAGTAAACAATTTACCAAGCTCTAAACTCAAGTCCACCAATCTACCATGCTCTAAACAATTTAGTTCTACTAATATACGAATCTACCAAGCTCAAAAACAATCTACCAGCAATCTAACTAAATAGGGGATTGATAGCAAATCTTGGGAATATGGTGGGATGGTTAAGTCCCAGAGTATGTGATGCTCTTTGGATTATATATATATATATATATATATAAGTGGTCAAGCTAACCATTTTGGTAGGGAAAAGACCATAACTGTACTTGAGAACATCTATTGGCCTTCCCAAAAATATGATACCAATGCCATGCATGCCAAACTTCTAATGCACAATTGATGGAGACCAAGGTAGCATGGGATGCCTAAAACGCAGAGAGTAGAATGGGATGATCTTTGGGCTATTTACACACTTTTTTTATTAAAAAAATCAATTATATATTTAAAAGGAAAAAATTACAACAATAAATATCATACAATAGGTGACATGAAAAATAAAAACAATCGATGAAGAAGAAGTATCAACAGCAATCAAAGTAAAATGAGAAAGCAGCTGAAGAATATCTGGGCTAACAGTGCTTGTTTGCAGATCTTGGTGGAATAGATTGGCGAAATAATAATTCTTCCAAAGGTTTGTAATTTATAGTTCTTAAAAGGTGTCTGCAGCAGAAAGCGATTTTTGAAGCCAAATTTCCACTATCCATTTCAAACTGGAAACCATTGTGGAGTTGTTTCTCTCGATTTCTAACAACTAAATTCATGTATCGAAATTTCATATTGAGCCAAATTTCCACTATCCATTTCAAACTGGAAACCATTATATTTTTTATATATAATTATTTTAACATATTGAGCAATGTTATAGTCGGCAATTTAGGTCAACCCTAATAAGCTCAAAATTTTTAAGATTGAGCCTGAGAGTTTAAAAAATTTCATTTACTTCAAGGTTATATAGGTAGGCCAAATAAGCTGAAAGCCAAAATTATTAAAGCTGAGTTTGACTATATGGCCTTTATTTATAAAGATAACCAATACCCATACATTATTGTTGACTTAAGAATATAAGTTGTTGGATTTTTTTTTCACTTTATGTTTGTTTCTTTTTTAAAAAGATTAATGTTAATGAATGTTAATCAAATTAAACATAATGGGGATTGTTACACTTATTATAATAAGATTATGAGTATTCTTACACCTTTGTTCGTTTAAAAATACTAGGTGCTTCTAAAGAAAAAATTACTTGATATTTTTATCGTTTAATTCTTATTTTTTATTAACAAAATTACTAAACTCAAGAAATATTTATTATATATTTTTCAAATTGCTCTTCATAAAATTAAAGTTTATTTTTTAAGATACAAACTTGTTTCATTTAATATAAGGATAATTTATTCTAATTTTTTTAATTTTAAATATAATTATTATATTTAATCAATTTTTTAAATTATGTAAATTAATTAAAATTTTCTTATACTTAAATAGAGGAAGTAAAATAAATGGAGTTAGTTAAAGCATTGTTTAAGAATTTTTTTTCAATTTATCCTTCTTAACTACATCATTTTTTTAAAAAAATTTCTCACATCTAATAACATCTTACCCTATTCATAAAAATATATAGTTAAAAGAAAATAATTAAATTATATATTTTTATGTAAAATCACTAATAAAAAAGACTATAAATTTTTTAAAAGATACTTCCTTTATCCAAAAATATAAAGTACTTTTTGAGAGGCTGAATATTTGAAAGAGTTAAGGTTTAATTTTTTCCTACTTATTTTTTAGAAACACCGGACATCTTATATTTTTAAGTGGAGTAATTTTATTCCTGAATTATTTTTTAGAGGAGCAAAAACCCCCTTCCCTTAATGAACTGTCAATTCTTTCATTTTTTACTGACATGGCACGTGCGTGGAGCCCATGCTCAGTGGTATGTAACACGTGGTAGGTCCTTTGGTACTAATTTGTCCTTGATTTTTTTTTTGAGATCGTTATGCGCTCTAAAGTATTTTTCTCAAAGTGCCGGGCACTTTGAAATTTTATTAAAATAAAATTAAATAAATATTGTTAAAATATTACATATTTTAATATTTAATAATTTAAATATTATTATTTAAAATATTACACCACCCAATTTAATATTTAAATATTTTTGATATTTTATAATTTTGTATTAAAAATGAAGCGAATGAACCTCCAAATTAATGAACGAATTTTTTCTTCTCGTCTCTCTATTTTTTTCTAGTTAAGTAACTTATTTTTCGTAACATATCAATAGAATAAGTGATATCTTTCAATATTTTTATATTTAAATATTATTTTTACCAACATTTTATAAATATATAGATGACTTCTTATTTTTTTTATATTGATCTTCGATCTTCTCTCCGATACAGTACCCAAATCGTTATGCCTTTTGTGCATGTCAGAACTTATTTATATTTTTCAATATTATTTTAATGGAATAAGTAAGTTCTAACACGCATAAAAGATATAATGATTTGGGTACTATATCGGAGAGAAGGTTGAAGATCAATATATAAAAAATAAGAAGTCATCTATAAATATATAAAATGCTAGTAAAAATAATATTTAAATATAAAAATATTGAAAGATATCACTTATTCCATTAATACGCTACAAAAAAAAAGTTACTTAACTAGAGAAAAATGGATATATGAGAAGAAAAAATTTGTTCATTAACTTAAAAGTTCATTCGCTTCATTTTTAATACAAAATTATAAAATATCAAAAATATTTAAATATTGAATTGGGTAGTGTAATGTTTTAGATAATAATATTTAAATTATTAAATATTAAAATACTTAATATTTTAATAATATTATTTAATTTTATTTTAACAAGATTTTAAGGTGCCCAGTGCTTTGAAAAAAATATTTTACAGTGCTTAATGCTTTTAAAAAAAATTTAAGAGCAAATTAGTACCAAAGGACATATCACATGTTACATATTATTGTGCATAAGCCCCGCACATGTGACACATCAATAAAAAATAAAAGAATTGACGGTTGATTAATGAAAAGGAGTTTTTGCTCCTCCAAAAATTAATTCAGCAATAAAATTACTTCATTTAAAAGTATATGGTGTCCAACACTTCTAACAAATAAGTATAGAAAAAAAATTGAACCTTAACTCTATTTAAAAATATAAGATATTATTAATTTTTTAAGATATAATTATTTTTTTAAAGTGTTCATAATAAATAAATTAATTTATATTTATTTTAAGATAAAATATTTTATTAAATAGAGATAAATATAAAAAAATAAAATTTATTAAAAAATAATTATTTATTAAAATATGAGAATTGATTAAAAATATTATTGTTATTATTAGTTTATAAAAATAGACAGAGTATATCTTTTGTTTAAAAAAAAAAAAAGTGCCGTACCATTTTTTCTCTTTAATTTAAATTTAAATGCCAGGAGGAAGATGCAAGAGCATTACTTCGTGAAGCGGACCACGTAAACCTGCACTCTCGGGCACGTCACAATGACCACTCAGTAATCTGTTGGATCAGAGCGTGGTCTCACCTCTCATGAGAGCGCGTGTGTGTAATTCGGCTGCTCCTATGTCAAAAGCTCACAGGCAGAGAGGTTAGAGGTATGTAGCGTGCAAATGACCCGAACCCCGCGAATCCAAGCTTTTCTCTTTCATTCTTTCTCAATCTCTTCAATCTCTTCGTTTTCTTCTTCTTCTTCTTCCCCTTTGGCGCCCAGAACTCTTATCCCTCGATTCCATCGCCCCAGCTTTCGATTCGATTCGTTCGAGGTAAATTTTCTTCTCTTAATATCTTGTTTCATGTTCGCGTACATTTCCTCGTTTTTTCGCTATAATTGATGATTTATAGCCGCCTGGGATGATCATTCTTCGTGCCCTATCACTCTACTTGTTTGCATTTTCATTTTTCACTTCCCTTTTGATAAATGCAGCAGAAGTGCTTGCTATTAGTGGCGCCCCACCCCAAGTTTCTTGACTTTTTTTACATATTGGTTAGGTTTTTGTTAATCTGATTCATATGGTAGAAGTTTAAATTGCCTGAGCAGGAAATTGGGTTGTGATTTAGTTCTCAGTTTTTGTTCTGCTCTCATTTACTGGTTTTCTCGCATTTAAGCAGACCGCTCATTTTTGTCTGATAAATTTTTGCTGCCTAAAGGCGTATTTCCAATTGTGATTCACTATTGGTGTACGATTGGATCTGAGATATGTAAAGTTAGGGACATGTGCTTCTTATCCTTGCTTCATGTTCCGGTTATTATTTTATTCATCATACTTGCCGTCTTTTCTTGCTAGTTTTCCTTCTGGACACGTGGTTCCATTTTGGGCAGTTTATTTGAATATCTTACTTTTTTATTATTATTATTATTATTATTATTATTATTTCTGCTTTGGTTGTTAAATTTATTACCGCGTGCCCCTTTGGATTTTTGAACTGTTCTATTGGACTCATACTCTGGAATTACGAGGCTGGTGAGTTTTTCCTCCTTGGTACGGATTTATGCATAAAAGCTGCGCCTTTTTACTTCCTGTTTTCAACAAACTTGAAGTTGAATTGAAAGTGTGAAACACATTTCGGGAGCACAATTGGGCTATTTCCAGCAATTTCCTTTTTTAAAATATAATTGTTTGCATCGAGTGCTCATTTCATTACTCCACCCATATGTTCATGATTATAATTTACGAGCTCATTATCATAGACAAAAATAGATCTCCTCATGTTGGCCTCTGCTCTTTTATTGTCAGTCTTCTTTAGTGGAACGATTTGGTACTTGCATTGCAAGTGTATGCTTCTATTTTCAACAAGTTTACTTTCTTTTCTTCTGTTCTTTTTCTACACATTCTCTTTTACAATTTTATTAAATTTCTAATTCTTGTCGTAGTGATCTGTACTAATGTAGATAATTTGCCCTGCTAATGTAGGATTGTAGATATTGATATTTCCCATTTCCATCTCCATTTTTTTAAACTTCCTTTCTTTTTTAAAGCTTTGTTTCGAAGATAGCAGATTTGTGAAAGAAAGCTTTTAAAGAGAAGGCATGTCCCCTCTACTGATGTTAAACTTTGTTTCTCCCCTTGTTTTGTGGATTTTTAGCTATTGCACGAGAATTTTGAAACATTGGTTTGGGAACAATAGCTTTACAAATATTTTCCATTTTTCTTTTCTCTTTCTTCTGTTTCTCCTATGAAGTCATTGCTAGCATTTAACATATCTGAACAAAAGTAGTTCCTGTTTACTGAATACTGCATTAGGATAATGTAACTGGTTAACCAGAGCTGATGATCCTGACATATATTCATGTCAAGAGATAAAATCTTGTCTCGAGGAATGACAGCATGGATCTTGTATAGAAAGAATCCAAATCCAATTTAGCCTAACCACTTTAGCCATCAGTATAATATGGTAGTAGGCATGTTTCAGAAATTATTTTAGTTTGCAAAATATTTTTATGGAAATAGGAAAGTATAAATGAAAATGGAAGTGATATTAATAGAATTTGATTAGTATATTTGGCATGTCAGGACAAAAATTGGCATTTGCTTTGAGTTGGATAATAGCACCGCTAAAATAAAAATATATTAAAATATTTGGACAATAGTTAGACTATTAGTTTGAGCTTCTAAAGGTCAACTACTTTTTGATGCTTCTATCTAAATAAAGGGCGGAAACGCTGACTCCTGATCCAATCAAGTTACTTGACCAGACCTATGCCGGACTTCTTGCTGTTCTACTGCATATGTATAAATGGTGTTGCATTCTTGTACAAAAGTTTACTGATAATGCTATGATGCATGTTCTGTCTCCACACAATTGTTAATCTCTTGCAGCTATGCATGTCTCGACCACCTTGTTTAATAAGGGACGACCATCCCTTTATGGTTTTACATCTTCATCCAAAAAAAGATACTACTGTCTGGAGTGATGCTTTAATGTGACTTACTGATGACTTTTACCATCAGGCTTAAATTGATGTCATAATTCAAGAGTGACCTAATAGAGTATCTGAAATTTGTTTACTAGTTTTGAATTTGTTGTTTTATGAATTTGGCATTTTTTGTTTATATGGTTCTCTGTTTACTTGATAATCATCAGATGGGCAAAATGTTCCCTGGCTTGTGGTTGATTTCGACAATGTTTGGTTGTAAGTTGTAAGATCTTGGTTTTGTTGGGGTGAGATAACTCTTCTTTAAAGGTAGTGGAATTATGGAGAGACAAGCAGACTTTTTCTTGTGAATAGCTTATATTATTCTGGATATAGCTTATACCAGGTTTTGAAGATTTGCGGTTCACCATAAACAAATAAATATCTCTTTGTAAAAGCGCACTGTAAAATTAAGTTTTTTCCTTGCTTTGTTTCTACCGGGCAGGGGTTCCTTTTCTTTGCCAAATGCCATTGGCTTTATTTGTTTCAAGAGAAGAATATTTCAGATTGGTGCTGGAAGAAGGATTGCATCATAATTTTTGTATGGTCACTTGCTATGCGCTGCCAGTATACTTATCCCATTTCTATGACTGCACTCAAGTATTGTGGCATTTTTTGTATTAACATTACATTTGAGAAGATACCATATAATTAAGCTTTATTTGATGTCCACTGATTCCTTTTATCATTGACATCATAAACAGACAAGCATTATTACACCAACCTGTAAATCTTAGAAATCATTACGACCTGCTAAAATTTTGTAGTTTGATTTCCAGGTTTAGTTGGGATTTGAAAATGGCAAAAGGAAGCAAGGGACGACGATCTTCCCGTCAGTTCAGGCTTACTCCATACCCTCTTCCTTCTTGCAAAAGGGATATCGGTGAGAATTTATGCCCAAAGAAATGCTCAAAGGTGTTGGATAAGAAAGAATGGGAAGACGTGACATGTTCTGTGTGCATGGAGTACCCACACAATGCCGTTCTTCTCCTTTGCTCTTCTCATGACAAAGGTTGCCGTCCCTATATGTGTGGCACTAGCTTTCGTCATTCCAACTGCCTCGATCAGTACAAGAAAGCTTACGCAAAGGTTGTCTCATCTAATAATGGACAGGCGGTGCAAGGCTCTATGGATAATCCAAGCCTATTACCATATTCAAACTTGCCACATGAGAAGGATGAAGTGACAGTGCTGGCATGCCCCCTATGTAGAGGTCAGGTCAAGGGTTGGACAGTTGTCAAACCTGCAAGGGATTATCTAAATGCAAAGAAGAGAGGCTGCATGCAGGATAGCTGCTCGTTTATTGGGAACTACAAGGAATTGAAGAAGCATGTGAGGGCAGAGCATCCCTCAGGATGTCCACGAGATGTGGATCCTGCGCTTGAACAGAAATGGAGATGGCTTGAGTGGGAGCGTGAGCGGGAAGATGTTATCAGCACAATAACATCAGCCATGCCCGGGGCAATGGTATTCGGCGACTATGTGATCGAGGGAAATCATCAAGATTTTGGTGCAGATGAAGAGGAGGGGTCTCTTGATGCAGATGATGCAGAAGGCAATGGAAGATTTCAAATGAACATAGAGACAATGAATTTCTTTCTCCTGCTGCATGCAGTTCGACAAGGGAATGACCTTAACAGGCGGCTAAGGCCTGAGCCGGAGCTGCCTTCCCATCGAGTATCTGGTGAGAATGGTGCCCGCCATGCAAGTCCTGTTAGCAGGTTGGATTTGTCAGATCACGATGACGATAACGAAAGGTACAGTGAAGGTGGTGATGATGGTATGTCCCTAGTTAGCCGTCTGCATCGCCATGGCAATGGTAGAGTTCTTCTAAGTCGCTCAGGTAGGAGGCGTAGGCGTAGAGCACAAGCTGATCAGCAGTAGATAACATCATGCTGGAAGCAGGTGGGAGAAGCACGAGCTTGTTAGGGATTTGTAGGTTCAAAAACTCAAGCCACAAAAACTGGGTTGACTTGACACCCGGGTGCACTGATTTTTTCCAGGATATAGGAAAATCAAAAGGTGGGTAATTTATTTCTCTGTTGTAATTTCTTTCACATGTAAATTCAACCTTCCTCCTATCATTATTGCACATTTCATTGTGAAATTTGCTTGTGTAAGTTTGAAATTATAAAATTCCTAACATTGCCTTGTAATGGTTGGACGCTTCTGAAAAGTTTAAATAAAATTAGGAGGCATGTATTCTTTCACAACACTGACGAACCGCAGCGTTCAGGAATTGCCTAGTTCCTGCTTATAAATAATCCTTATGCATATAGGGGGTGGACACCGAATCAAAGATTCAGATACTCCCTTTTTTTCTTATGAGGCATTTGCTTTTAAATAATAACAAATCTTGTCCTACTAAAATAGTATCAGTCACATGGATTGCAATGTGTCATTGTATTTTACTATTTTATCAACCAAATTTTGGAAAATATTATTAACCAAAAGGTTTCATTCAATAACTTTCACACATATTCATTTTGGTTTAGAAAAAATAATTAAAGCAGGTTAATTTTCTAATAAATTTTTTAAAATTTTTAAATATATCCTTGCATTAATGCCATTGATTCTTATTATAACCTAATTTGATTTTTAATACAAGCAAAATTTTATATAGTTGCTTGTTTTTATAACATATATAGTTGCAGAAATTATTTGAAAACAATCCTTTGTTTTTAAGAAACCGAAAACATGAAATGGCAATCATACCTAATTGATTAAATAACTTCATTGACAACTGCCTAGGGACAAACTCCCATTTCAGAAGAATGAACTTTTTTGTTATCCCAAATTTCATAATTTTTACATTTTGCTTGAGTTTGGAAGAACCTAAAACTACAAAAAATAAAAATATAAGGATCTAAAACACACAAAAAAAAGTAGAAGAATTTATATAAAACTTAAACAAAATGCAGATATCTAAAAATATGTTTTCCCTAATTTCATGGGGAAAACAGTGCCAACACCTCATTTTAATGTGTTTGCTTGTCACTCCACACCTTGGAGGCACAGTGCAATCTGTATCCTTCAAAACTGACTCCTTCTGGAGAAGTATATCGAACTGATCAGAAAGAGAAATATGGTTCCCCTCCAAACTTCTTGAATCGCTGACTTTTGACTTGCAAAGACTGCTTGCAAGTTGGTTCCGAGATTATCGACATCTAGAACGAGTTAACCTTGAATTATTCTCAAGTACTAAGGTTTGCTCCTCCCATAAACACTTGGTTGAATTCTCATTCTTTCTATTCTGTTTAGACCTAATTATGGTTTCTGGCTCTTATCTCATGCATTTCAACTTATTTACATTTTCTTCAGAGATTGCAAAGCAGGAAGAACTCTTACAAGCACCGCATCTGACGTCTGTTGTATTCTCATAACTATCATCTGGGGGACAGGTTGGAGGGTTTTTCCACCTATTTAATTTGTCCAGGGCTGATTTGTACCAGTTTTCAATCGTCCCTACCGGAATATCCCCTTACGGCTGTACTAGCTCAAAATGATTTTCTTTCATGTGTAATACTGCGATGAAAATTGTATGCCAAGCAAAGACTTTGGGATTTAGCAGAAAAGGAGCTTCAAAGTTCTTAACATATCCTGAAAGAAAGCAGCACATCATTTTGTTGCTCAAAGTGCAAGCTGATACTTGAAGCAACTCTGCATTAAAACGAGTGTATGATATGGCTTTACCTCAGTGTAGAGAAGTGGAAGCCCCAGTTCCATTTCCTATCATTTCGTTAATTATTCAAAAAAATCAGTGACTGAATCAGTGTTACAAAGGGGGAAGTCACTGATTTTGGCCGAAACCCTACCCCCTAATGCAGAAACAAGATTACAGGAAAAGAAATGAAAGCAATAACATAGCAGGACCCTCAATGGTGTTCGAGAGACTCTCCTCACTTCTGTCTAACTCTCAACATGTTCTGAGTGCTATCCAAAACAACAACAAAATATTAAGCAAGCCGTAAAGGTGACTCTAGCCTCTAAACAGAATCTATAGCCACCATAAACACATAATGACTTAATCCTCATTTGCTGGACCCTTAGGATAATAATTCTGACCCGCTGGATATGTCTTTTCCACTCTTTCCCTCCCTTGGATTTTCTCTTATGTCTGAACATATCCCAAGGTTACATCATTCAGGAATTTGTTGCATGTGAAGAAACGAGTTTTACACTTTTACTCACCCAAAGCTCAGTCAGCAAATGCAAATGAAAATCACAAGTATCCTCTTGCAAGATGTATCTAGATAGTTGTTTTCAGAAAGCGCAAACTCTATTGACAAAGGGAAAGGCCTCAAGGCTATATGGTATAGAAGGTCTCAAGGACTGTATTCAATGTTTTCTGAAGTAATAACAAAAGTAAGCCTTGCAGTCTTAATGCATTCGAAAAGTCTTATAAGCTCAACTAAATAAGGCTTGCAAGCCAATTTCGAAGCTACGGAATCCAAGCAATCCAATCACAGTTTATAAACTTGGAACAATTCATGAGCTAAGTCTCCCCCGCCACGCGATTTCGATAACTCCGACAGGCGCTTGGGGAGAATAGACAAACAGCGATTAAGAAACGAAAGGTACGTTTTAGCAAGTGAACGGACTAGGGGTTGATCCTCGTTGGCCTTGGCCGATTTCTCGGTTCCCTTTGGTATTCTCAGAACCTCAAAAGGGTGGACATCGTCGGAGAAAATGGGGGAAATGCCAACGCAATCGGAGGATTCGACTTTAGAAATGAGAGATGATTCACTGGCGGAGGCCATGACAGTTACGGCGAATGCGACTGCGACGGCGAGAGGGAGTGAGGTTGTGAGACCTTAACGAAGAACGAACCGTGTTGTTTTGGGGGGGAAGGGGAGGCCTGAGTTTCAAAGGCGCGAATTGGACAGCCTAATTTAAATTGGGAGACTCACAAATAAGGACCTTAGAAAGCTGGTAATAACAATTGAAGACTATATAATTTTGAAATTGAATATAAGGACCTCGATTCTTTTTGTAGTTTAAAAAGTAATTTGTTGACTAATTAGGTTCAAAATTTATTATCAAGTGGGGTGTTTTAGTCAATAAGTTATTTTTTTAAACTACTTTCAAACCACAATACAAAATATCTTCTAAAAATTTTACTTGATTCAAAATATAAAATATTAAATAATTTTTATAATTGCTTTTTCAACTATACCCTTAGTTTATTTTACTTTTGAAAAAAAAAATGATACATTAAAAGTTTAATTATCATTACTAAAACATTTATATAGAATATTTAATTAAAATATAATTAGAAAAATGTAAATTTTTTTAAAAAATTAAAATTTCAACTAACATTTTTAAAAATTGTGAATTAATTATCAATATCCTATGTTAAAGGATCAAGGTCCTTAAATTCAATTTCAGAATTCCATGATCTTTAATTATTAGTACAAGCTTTCCAAGGTCCTCGTTGGTGATTTTCCCATTCAAATTTGCTTCGCTGGTTGGCTCTGCCTCTGGCTGTCTTTGTCCCCATGAATAACTTGCTAGTATGCTACTATCATCTTAGATGCCGATTTAAACATTAAAGTATATCCACAACTTTGTAAATCATCCAACTAAACAATTAGGTCTAAAACCTGGCATCTGTGTTTTCATACAATGGTGCTAGAAGGAAACACCTGAATCAACACTAAACAGCCATACTTGTCAACACAATGTACTGCAAAATATAGAAACATGTGACAAGAATTGTACACTATACATAGTCCAGTCTGCTTCTCTTTCAAACCTTGCAGCTTAATTGAAAAATAATACATAACTTACGAATTGGCCTCAAATATTCGTGCTTTATGTTACATTTAAAGAATGGGGTGTGTAAAATTGAAGGGTTAGGAATTTGGTATATATTCCGAAGTTCAAGAAGCATGCTTCTATGCTGACCTACTGAATTTGAGAACTAAGGGGAAAAAATCAAAGAATTTACAAGTCATTTACGAATTCTATGCTATATAACCGAAAAGGTTAAAGATTATTTTTCCTCCAGATCCTTGTTGGAACACCGTAACACACTGGAGCGGCCCCAATCAAGAAAGGGAGGGTGCAAGCTTCACGTGCCTGACACATGAATGATGCAATTTTGGGTCTGTGATCACAATAACTCTTGAAGATGTCACTTTCACATTCTTCTAAGGCCTTCTTTCTAGAAACTTTCTTCTTTGCTTTACCCTTTCCCTTCAAGTTCATGGCCTCAAATTCTTCTGATAATGAATTACATTGCAAACATTCCCCGGAAAAATTTAATCTTTCTTTCAACCAGGCATCAAGCATGGCCTTCCCAAATCGATCTATATCCTTGTCTGTCACTTCCCACAGATTGGCAACTATAGCTGGAGAACCAGCCAGAAGGTATGAAAGGGGAATACCTTGTGGGGCATAGCTCCCATGTAAGGTCAATGAACCACTGCTGCATCCCATCAAAAGTGTAGCACCACATTTATCAAGTTTCTGAATCTCTTGCCTGGAAATATATTGTGCTCCTGTAATGTAAAGCCATGTACAGATGAACATTAATCATACTCATGTGTAAAGGCCACACCGCCACAATGAATGACAAAGATGAATTATGCTCCATTGATGAAATTCTTCGAACTTACCACTCCCATGGCCAAAATATATAAAAAGGTCATGGCTTTTCAAGGCTGAAACCAATTCTTCCAAAGTGGGTCTTAAACCTGCCTTGCCCTGTAAATTTATTTATAAAAAAAAAATGGAAGTTCAAATGAAAGGCATATTTTCTCTGTGAAAAATCTCTAGCATTTCTTCCATAATATTGTTAATTTTCTTTTGTATAGAATTAGCACCAGCCCAGTGAATGCAGTTGTACAAGAAACAAAATAATTAAAATGGCATGTAATCTGGCAGAAACAGTTAAATTATACGGTTCTCATTCAAAATTGCAATTACCTCTAGGTTTTGACTTCTAAACCAATTCTCAAATTCAGTTTGAGTGCTAGTGAGATCACCATCTGGGTTCAATAGATAAAAAGCGTCCAGCGGATCTATCAAAGGAAAGGGCATTGAATTCCCATCTACTTGCTTGTGATGGTTGCTGCTTCTGTTAAGAAGTGCAGAGATGCTGCTGACTGATGGCATGCGATAAACCTCCTGGTTTCTTAGTACAGGCAAATTTTCCCAAGGAAGCATCTGCCACCATAATAGAGCTTGTTATTGTTTCAGAGATGACAGTTATCTCTGGACAAAGCCAAAGGCAGCACAGTTGAACATTGCTCTGTTTAACATGAGCGCTACAAACGGGCTGCTGCATATGTGCTTCGCATAGCCGAGCTAAAGAAATAGTTTAACGCTACAACAGTAGCATAGCACGATATCGTGGATGGCAACAGGCTATAGTGGGTTACAATTAACTATGATCAATTTAATCTGAAAGAAATAATTACCAACTCACTCGTAACGTCTTAAAAAATATGTTTCACTACAAACAGAACGAAGAAAAGGAATTTTTCTAATTTTAACTATACTATATTATCGCTTGATGGGTTTCAAAAGGATTTAACAATAACTGAATGCTTACAATTAATCTTTTACCAGCACACACGTGTACCTGAATGTCATAATCCAACACAAGAATTATTGGCTCTCTGCTCTGTCCCACTTCAAACACGTTTAGTGCTTCATTTAAGATTTGAAACGCAAGCTCAGATGAGGTTCCAGATCCATTGGCGGCATTTAACAATATGCCACGCCATGCATCATCACAATAACCTACTTTAGCAATGTAGCAGCCTTTTTTGAAGCATAGCTGGGAAATCCATGTATCTCCTTCACAATTATTCTTTGAGCCTCCAAGAATGACTTTAAGAATACCCTCATTCACATCCAATTTGCATTTAGATCTTAGATCATGCAATAGCTTCTTGTGCGCCAAGTCCAAATTCTTGTGGTCCATCCATTCTCCAAGAAGTAAGTATTTCCATGAACCAAACCATGAATCTTCAATGTTCCTAACAAAATATAACAAGGCAATTGTGAATAAGAAGATAACGATTAGTTTTTTTCTTTAAATTTTGAGACTTTTATATAAGCTATTTGCGCACAGCACTACATTTAGCTTTTGGAATTTTTTATAATATTGAGCGGAGCTATTGTCATCTTGAGTAAAGCTATTCAATAATGAATGATGCCCATTACCAAGGGGAAAAAAAAGGGGTGTACTAATGACCGGTCAAAAAGTCAAGTTCTTTCACTGATAGATGCACCTCAAGAATGGGAAGTTAATTTTTCAACTTAAAATTCAGTCAACGAATTTTCAAGACAAATCTCAAGGTATACCTGTCGAGAGGTCATCTCTCTACAATCACCCCAAAAAAACAAAGCAGGCTAGTAAGAGAATTCAATTTGACGTGTGAAAACATAAAGCAGGTAATGTACCTCAACAATTTATTAAGGCGTTGATCAAGCTTCGTTCTCCACTTCCACCATAGCATCCTATTTCTTTTCGTGTCTTCCAAAGGGAATACTGAGGATAAGTAATTTCCTTCCAATATCGTTTTGAATGCTGGAACTACATCGTCAATCACTGTAAAACCCCAAGGACAGTGCCACTGCTTACTTGAGTTCTCACAATCGGAAAGGGTGCCCAAACCAGAATTTGGATGATCATCATCATCATCTTCTTCTTCTTCTGAATTTGATCACGAAATGATAAAATTAGCATGTCAGGCTGTATAAGCCTCAAACCTGTATGAGATGCTATATAAATGCCAAGTGCACATGAACTAGATACCTTCTGAAATTGAGTCCACAGGTAGTAACATCACAACAGGTTCAGTCTTGAAACTAAATCGTGACACCAACACCCAGGCATCAACACACGTAGGACAAAGCAGTAATTCTTGCAACAAACTAGTATAATCTCTTCCAAGCAAACTTATACTGACAACTGCCGTAGAGGGAAGGCCAACCAAAAAGTTCTTCACATATTCTTCGAGCTCTAAAGTGGTCTCAGGTGCAAGTCTGTGATAGCAATGCTTCAGATTGTATGCGAATTCACTCTTTTCTTTAATCTGCAATCAGAAAAGCTATTACCTGAGTAAGTCACATGTCCCTTCCCTGATGCAGGAAGATGCAGAAAGAAGGTATACTATGAAGCTGAAGTTATGAAATCAATCACTGCTTCTTGCATACTAGTTACTATTGTTAATTAAGAAGAAATCCCTGGATATTAGTTACTATTGTTAATTTAATCCTCAATCATTACTAAAAAAAAAAAAAAAAACTTTAAGCATGTATCATCAACATAAATGTTTAGGATAAATCCAAGAGTGAAACAATATTTTCGTCTTTGGCAAAAAGGAGAAAAAAAAACTACATTTTCGTCCTTGAAAGATGATCCCATCATCAACTAACTACCTTAAAGATTTTGGTAGCACTATAGTGCTTCAATATTTGATTTCTTCCAATCTCATCCTTAAAGAAGTAGAAAATTTATATTGCAGAAACTCTTGAGGAGCGAATTTTCTTTAAGAATGAAACATATCAAACTTTCAAGTTGTAAAGTGAAACATAACCTCTGAGGAAGCCAAGCCAAATGATGACCCATATGGGGTTTTGAAAAGTGTGATTGGACCGACTTACTAACCAAGTAAATGGGAGAAATTTATTTTTATATAATTTCCATATATAGAATAGATTGATTTCGTAATTATAGGATTTTATTTATTCTGATTTTCTTCCTATTCGTGTGGGATTCTTTATTCCCTCTGCTGTGTCCATGTACCAATCGTTGAGGAATAATATACAAATTCCACAAGTTCTACAGAAAGACTACCCCAAGAATGATTCATATGTTTCTCAACACTCCCCTCAAGCAAAATCCCCTCATCTTGAAGTATGAAAATACATAGGTCCACACTGGTAAAATTAAAAATTAAAGCAAATAAGGTTCATTTTGACCACTTATTCAAAGTAACTGACACTATGCCAATCACGGTTTCATTTCAAAAGTTGTCAGGAAAAAGGCCCAATGATTATTATTTTTTGAACTCCAAAATTAAGCATCAAACATACCTCAGCATCAACAAATGGTTGTACCACTTTGCATCTCCCACTTAGATTTGAACAGAACTGGTAGGCAAGATGAGTTCCAATTGAAGCTTGATGAAAATATGAAGCCCAATAATTTTCACCCAAGGCTTTGCTAAATGATGACAAGGAAAATTGCTCACTTGAGGCAGAAACTATATATATCACAGCAAGTAATCTAGATACCTGTTGCAGTGTCATTAACGTTCCAAGGTCACACAACCTGGTCTAGTAGTTGACTTGAAAAGGAACAAAAAAACAGCCCAAAAAGCCAGAAAGTAAACCATTCAGATCTGTTTTTAAAATATGTGCAAGTCATACTTCTTGCATTCCTTTAATTGTAATAAGTAAGGTATCCATAAAGCAGACATTGGCATGGTCAAATGACAGGACACAAACACCTTAACACATCAATCTTTAGAAATACTCCCCCCAGACCACGTTCCAATTTATAGGACACCTTCTAGAAATAATTTTTAATCCAAAATGCAAGACACCTTGTAATAATTAAATTACTTTTTCCAATTTTACCCTTTCTTGATTAGCATGAAGGTATTTAATATAGTTATATAATTAATTAAAGTCAAGATTAAAAATGAAAATACATTTCATTTTTTTTATTATATTAAGAAAAAACTAACTTTTCTTAAAATGTGTGAAATGGTTAAACGTATCCTACAATGAAAACCAAAGGGAGTATAGAACACAAGTATGACATGACTTAGCATTCATCTATTTTGTTTAACTTTCGATTAGTAATATGCTTAAGATAAAAACAAAACTGGTAGGATTACATTACATATTCTAAGTATGTTAAATGATCATTTTCTGAAAAAAAAAAATGAATGAATAAATCATTGTTAATATCATTAAAACTATTCTTCCATAAAAAATAAGAAAAAACTTCAATTATCTTATCAGGATGACTTCTCTTTACTCATTTTGTGGGTCTTTTCTTCCTTTTTTTTTTTTGGGGATCATTTGTGTCTGAGCCATGTTTTGCTGAGACCAAGCCATATTTGGCATGTGGCCAAGCTGCATATATAGCTTGTCCAAGTCAATTTTGATATGTCCATTTTGACACATCCATATGCATGAAAAACGTGTCCTGAAATAGGTGACTCTAGGCTTTCTAGCATTTCATACTGCCCAAATAAACTGTTGCTCTGTATGAAACTTTTACTAAAAGTTCACTTTTAATGAAATACAGTAAAGCCCAATAATATATGGAAAGCAATTCGATTTACCATGGATGTAAAACAGGCTTAAAAGGCCGCAAGTACTAAAAGTTCAAGATGTAAGCCAATAAAAGTCAAAATTGCTTCATGCTTTGTCAGGACAAGGATCTTAATTCAGCATCAGGAAATGACTAGCCTTTGTAAGTGAAAAGATATATAGGAAAAATTAAAAAATAAATAAATAAATAAAATCAGGAAAGATATGTTTGACCTTCTGAAAAAGAACAGGAACCTCACGAGAGAGTACAAAGGCTAGCATAAGCCAGGATGCTAGATCTTCAAACTTGATGCAAGATATATCAGAGAAAACAGTCCTGGGAGGAAAAGGGCAAAATGTAGCGAGTGAAAAATGTAATACAAAGTTATTTCTATAAAGCATCAATTCTAATAATGTAAAATTTTATTAATCTAGCACAACGAAAGCACCATTGTTGGAATCCAAGTATACAATGATGATTCAACACTTCCACAAAAGCTTAATGCAAGACTTTATTCTTGTTAAATTATTGCAGAAGTTTTGGTTCAAGGAAGGATTTTAAGATTGTTTGGAAGTAGAGGGCATTCCTTTTTGAAAAATGTCAAATTGCATCACGAGGCAAAAGAAGAAGGAAGAAATATTCAGTTTCAGGGAGCCAGATAATTTCAGAAAGAACCCATATAATATCATATGCATTGCCAAGCATGACTTCATTATTGTTAATATCAAAGGTCAATAATAAAGCACATTATAGATGCCAACGTCTTATTATCTATCATATAACAATTGAAAGTTTTCCCATCAAGGAAAGAAGCTCGCATGTGCAGACTTCAATGTTTGTAACAGGCAAGTTGTGGTTATTACAAATACCTCAAATGCTTGGAATGATAGCTCCTCAAAAAGAACCAACAAATGTCATGGAGTATTTCTGCACGTTCAATAGCAAAAACATCTCCTCGGCTCTCCTTTGCAACCACAAGGCGAAAATAATCTAGTGCAACAGGAACCAACTTTTGGCAGAATGAGTTTCTGCTGACCAGAACAGATATTCTCCTTAGAAGAATGTTATGAGCATCATCAATTTGACCAGGATATGCAAGAGAATTCCCTGCCAGTCAAAAGTTAATATCAGAGAAGGAATGGTAAACAACTATGTAGTGTAACATAAGTAAATGCCAAGCTGAATCCTTCAGAAGAACTAGCAGCCTTCAAAATAAGATAATGCACATGGTTTTAATTTAAAATTCACACAAACAAATTTTCAATATCATGCATATAAATTATTTAGAAATTATTTGAAAACAATCCTTTGCTGTGTAAGAAAAAGAAAACATGAAATCGCAATCATACCTAACTGAGTGAGTAGCTTCATTGACAACTGCCTACGGACAAACTCCCATTTTAGATGAATAAAATCTTTCATTATCCCAGATTTCATAATTTCATGGGGAATACAGTGCCAACACCTCATTTTAATGCGTTTGCATGTCACTCCACACCTTGAAGGCACATTGCAATCTGTATCCTTCAAAACTGACTCCTTCTGGAAAAGTATATCAGACTGATCAGAAAGAGAAATATGGTTCCCCTCCAAACTTCTTGAATTGCTGACTTTTGACTTGCAAAGACTACTTGCAAGTTGGTTCTGAGATGATCGATATCTAGAACGAGTTAACCTTGAATTATTCTCAAGTACTAAGGTCTTCTCCCCTGATAAACACTTAGCTGAATTCTTGTTCTTTCTAGTCTGTTTAGTTCTAATCTTGGTCTCCGGCTCTTCTCTCATGCATTTCAACTCATGTACATTTTCTTCAGAGACTGTAAAGCAGGCAGAACTCTTACAAGCACCGCATCTGAAATCTGTTGTACTCTCATCACTATCATCTTGGGGACAGGTTAGAGGGTTTTTCCAGTCAGAAAGATTTAATTTGTCCAGGGCTGATCTGTACCAATTTTCAGCTGTCACTACAGGAATATCCCCTGTACTACTGTCAAATCTACTTTGACACAAATCTCCATAGTATTGGTGCAGAGTTGCTTCAAGTGTCAGCTTGCACTTTGAGCAACAAAATGATGTGCAGCTTTCTTTCAGTATATGGTCAGAACTTTGAAGTTCCTTTTCTGCTAAATCCCAAAGTTGTTTCTTGGCATACAATTTTCCTGGCAGTATTACACATAAAAGAAAATCATTTTGAGACCAAGCAGAGAATGAAATTTTACCAATCAATGGAGGATATGTTAAAACAAGTTTATTCCATACCTAAGATTAAAGAGAAAGCAACCATAAACAATGATATCTTCAGTCTGCATGATAGGGCTTTTCCCCACTGTAGAGAAGTTTCAGCCTCAGCACCATTTCCTATCATTTCGTGAATTATTCCAACCTATGGACAATACGAAAGATCAGAAGACTATTATGCAATTTGGACATAGGATCCTCCACCAATGCTTTCTATTTTCCTCACATTAGAGGATCAAGATATATATATTGCGGAAGTCAAACCTGAAGCGTGCTCTCTAGATAACACTGCATGATTTTCCATGGACTAAGGTAGCCGTCCTTCAAGTCCCAGGACAGAGAATTAAACAACAAAACTTCTCTGGCAACTGATTTGTTCACTCTGAAATTCTCAATAATGTACCCAAGATTATGAGAGAATCCACTCAGTTCCTTGTTTTCTCCAGCCTGTTGCTGAACAGTATACATAAATTTTCCTTGGAAAAGCTTGGCACGCAGCCTCTGAGCTTCTTTTGCAAATGAAAGAGCCTAATGAGAAAACATAAGATCATTATAAAGATAGATTAAAAGTTGATAAACAATGTAAAGCCACAGAGGTCTTGGATCCCCCTACCCTGCCAAAACAAAAAAATCGAAAAGCTGGACCAACAAATGACTAAAACAAGAATCTGTAGTATACAATGAAAGTGATATTTAAATGAGAAGTCACAAACTGTTTAAGTACTACTTTAAAATTCATTTGGTCCATAATTCCTGTGGTGCAACTCAAATGACGATACAAATTCCTAAAACCTATAAATATGAAAATGTAGACATCTAAGAAATGCACGCCACTTCATGAAGACAATTTGAAAGAAAATAAGGCACGTCCCATAGATACTACAAAATCCTGATTAACTAATTTTAATGATTCAAAACACGCAAGATTTTATAAAAACAACCCCACAAGATTAGAATATTAATCATCATTTGTGCAATCTATTGCAAAAGGGATACCAAATGACAGAGAGAAATAAAAACAAAAATCACTGTTATTGATTCACTAGTTAGAAGATAGACGATGCAATAACAACAATAATAAGTCTTATCCTACTAAGTGGAGTCAGCTACATAAATTGCACGATGGGATTGTATTCCATCAAAGAGGACTGACGGTGCAGTGGCATAAAAATTTAAAATCAAATCCACTGCTACTTACCTCTGTTAATTGTCCACTTGAAATAAGTCTTGTACACAGATCATAGTAGAGACACCCAGCAACAAAAGCAGAATGGTTTGAATCAGGAACCTAGAGGAAAAATCAGAAAACACAGTGAAGATTCCAGATAAAAAGAGCATTATGGAAGAAATTGGCTAGTCAAAAGTGCCTTACACTTGACATTAATTCAGATGCAACTTTTCGAATATCATCAACTTCAATGTCTATCTGGAAAGAGTTCATGTGATGGTAAGAATCCCTAGGCAAGTTGGCAAACAAAAATGAGAAATTCTGTTGAAACCCCATCACTAATGGTTGGAAGCCTTGGAGATAACGTATCCAGAAATCAAAACTGCAAAGTTCTTCAAAGTGTTCTGATGAGTTCAAGATGAATTCCTCATCTACAGGAGAAACACAGAGTGCATGACTTATCCTTCTACTTTCCCACAGTAAGGCCAACCACTTCTGAGTTGAGAGATTCTTCAACTTAAACAATCTAATCATTAGCCGATATGAATCACTATAAAGTTCCATGAAACCCTGTAGATATTGCATTAATATCAAAAGTTATCCCCATCAACCTTATAAAAAATACTACAGGAACCAAGATAATTGAAACAGAGCAAACCTTCAATTGTAATAGGTCAATCATGTTATAGAGTAGTATCACCGTATTGTCAGACAATGCAAAGCCCTCTTCCTTGTCACAACAATCAAGAATGTAAAAGCTTAAAAATAGATTTAAGGCTTCCTTGACATCTTCAAAGATTTTCTGTTCAATGCACAAACCAAGCTAAACTTTAGCAACGAGGAAGTTGTTAAGTTTAACATCATAAAATAATAAGGTATAGTTACAACTATCTTTCCTGCCCCTGCCACAAAAAAGAAGAAAGTGCAACCATATTAAACCTTAAACTAATAAATGAGAAATCAGTTTATGCTTTAAGACCTGTGAGCTTGGCTCAGCTTCCATGATGCATAGTGCACGCAGGCAATATGCAATCAACAACTGTTGATCGAGGGAATTTTTAGTGGTATGTGTTTCACAAGAAATCTCCTTCTGTTTAAAGAAAATAGCATCATATCACTGGCATTCAGAACTTCAACAATAAGTTCTTTGAAAATGATACGAGTAATATATTCAAAAAAGTACAAAAATACTGCAAGGCTTACTATCATAATTATTGCTTCAGAGAAACACTGAATACAATCCTTCAGTCTTTCTATGCCACAAACCCTTAAGGCCTTTCCCTTTCTCACAAGAGTTTGTGCTTTTTGAAAACAACTATCCCGATTGACATATACATCTTGCAGGAGGATACCTGTGATTTTCATTTGCATGTACTGACAGAGCTCTGGGTAAGTAAAACTCATTTCCTCATATGCAGTAAGTTCCTAAACAAGACATAAGAAAAGACGAATCATGAACAAGTTTGATAGATTGCAATATGCAGCAGCGAAATTTTCATGGAAAACAAATATTTGCTAGGAGACCACACTTGTTCCAATATCATGCCAATGCTCCTCTTTGAAAGCTCTGTTGAAGATGACAGAAGACAGTACAAGGTGACGGAATTATTTTTCTCATCCACATGCTTAACACGTTTGCATTCCATCTGGATAGCATGTCATATAACAATAAGTAAAACGAAATAAACTCAAAGGAAAAAGTCAAACACAAAGCAAAATGCTTTGATGACATTACCTTCACCCACTGCTTCACTATAGGCATAGGAGTTGCCAGGTTCTCAAATTGATCATTAGCAGAACACCAATTTTTAAGGATAGATACAATTTTCTTCCTCACTTTATGATAGTCAACTTGATTGAGAATATCCAGGAGAAGAGCACTTCTGGTGTAAGCCTCATTCACAAACTCTACAAATTCATCTCTTAATTGACCACCACAATAACATTTAATACAGATCCATGATGCCTTACAGCATAAGCTCAGCACCTTTGAAGCCTGCAATAGTATTTCAAACAAACAACAAATGGAAAGGATTCACGGGGAAAAAGATATGATATTCTTGTGATTCATCTATGATCCTCATATTTACATTTCTCTGTTTCAACAGATTCAACTTCACTGGCATCAAAATAGCCATATTGGCTAAGTGAAGGTGCTTTCACTCACTGCATATGCATATTTTCACCTACAAATACATTTATTTTCCTTCATTATTAGTTGCTGACTTGTTGGACTCGTAAACTTTATGCCCTAGCAAGTGGTTCTCTGAATAAGTGTCAGCCAAAGCTTGGATGACTAAGTGTAAAAAATAGATCCTTACTGAGCTGTCTTACAGTAGAAATTTCTACCAAGCAGCGTCCAGTGTGAATACAAGTTAACTTTTTATTAGTTGTCAAGCCTTGCAAGCCACAGGGCACGTGTTAAAGTTATAAAACCAACTCTGCATTCCTGCTTTTGAACCTTAGTTGTTAGGTCAAATTATTCTTTAACAACATGGGCATATATGAGATATGGATTGGTCCTGCCTTCATTCCAAAATATGCTTGGCTAAAAACAAGATGCGCTGCCCTCTTACTATCAATTGGTGGTTAATATTTTAACTTAAAGAGTCATGTACTAAATCCAATTATTGGTTTTCACTAACCAAAGAGCACCATTACAAACATCAAGTCTTGTGATTCTTATGAACTCCCTTAAGAAATATAAAACAAGTTTGAACAAAAGCAATATCAAAAAGAAAAGAAGTAAACATATGCCATCTCTGTAATTAAAAATTAAAAACTGAGAATAAAATACCTCTTTTGCTTCCTTGTTTCTGTGCAAAACTACAGCAATATTGTAGAGACATGCAATTATGTAATTTCTCCCTTCTTTTTGGATATGTTCACTAGCAACAATTTGCTTAATTAATCGTGCACTCTTCTGAAATGAGAAAGGAAAAACTAATTATCATGTGGGAATAGAAGAGGTAACATAAAATTCCACATTAATTTTGGAGATTCGGCAATAATTTCAATCAAAAACTAAATCATAAGAAAATGACAAGGATTGAGACCATCTCATGATAATTAGCACGAACCTGTATGTATAGTTTACTTTTGATGGACAGGGTATAAGCTGCCACAGCTACGTTAAGCAATGTTCTACAGTTTTCATCAAATCCGATTCCATCCCTTTTGATCGTAATGCTGTATGTGAAAAGAAGTGAACTTTAGGGATTCAACACTATAAACAATCAATGAGATGAATAAACAAGTGGTGCCAAAGACTATTGTCTTCAAACAATTTGAAATATTTTACATATGACTTTAACGTGGTTCTTTATATCTCATATCTCCATTGCAACTGTTCACAAGATACTTTCAAGTATTAGATAAGTGACATTGAACAATTCTGTAGAACAAAATAGAAAAATATATAGGCCCGCTGGCCATGCATACAGGACCATGCTGAACAAGAATAACAGTAACTAAAAAGATGTCAAAGTGGAGCAGCCAAGAGCAGAAACTTAGACAGTCGCATTTATTGTACATCTCCAATTAATATGAAATAAAATTATCCACTATTAAAAGAGAAGAAACTAAAAACATGATTTAAAACAATTTGTTTGTTCACCTTGGACGTGAAAATATAAGATGGCAAAGGAGAAGGAAAGCATCTAACACAGTGGACAGCATGTTCATAGCAGAAGCACCATCCTTTGCAGCAACTAATTGTTTCCTTTCTGAATTAATTGATTTAGCAAGTGGTTGGGAAAAGAATTTCAGAGCATTTAAGTAATATGGCACGTAAGTCGAATCCAACAGTGTACTTATTTGACTAGGAAGATCCTTCTCTTTTACATTGGAGCAAATATCCAGGTCACCACACAAGGTACCAATCACAATTGGTAAATCCCGTAGCATGTTCTCATTATCAAGTAATGTTCCAATCAAGTATTGAAATTTTGCACCTCCTGAAGATGCAAGATCTCCATCTCTGGGTCTCAGGTCACAACTAATAAGTAGCAATCCAGCAATGTAAAGTCTCAGAATCACACGAACAGGTGTCATAACCTGCCATCAAAATGAAATAAAAAATTGACAGCATTATCATAATTGAAACATGCACACAATCAAAGGTTGAAAATACAAAATACCTGCTGCAATTGTTCTGCAATTTTGTTCAGATGTGCTGCAAATGCAATACAAAAAGCTGCATTTGCAATCTGACATTTATTGACACAGTAAGATACAAGCTCAACATAATCTATTCCAGTTTCCTCTTCAACCTGAAAAGATAAATAACATTTGTGGACATTAGCAGCAGCCACTCAAGCAAGATAAATCTAACTCTAGATCTTGAGTTGTTCAAATATAATGATAGAGAATGAAATCAAAAATTAGAATTTAAGCTGCTCTCTAACTCTAAGTTAAACAATCACTGCCTTATCTCTATGCAGGGACTGCCAAGTGCCAAGTAACCTAAATGACCGACCAAAGGCAAGTCAAATAAAAGGCAAAACAACATAAATAACAGATGAGGAACTTGGAGTATTGTAGCATAAGTATAGGAAGACATTATGTGAGATTTAAATTATGATCAATAATTAATTAATTGTATGCTTGTAATCCATTTTACATTACCTGGCATTCATGAGCAACATGATCCAGTATATCAATGATACACAAGGATTTATTCTCTTGCAGCTTGAACAGTGAGGAACAAATAGTGTGGGCAATCTGCATAAAAATCTTATCAGAAAAGCAAGTGAAGGACTTAGTGACGCTTAAATCCAAAAGATGAAAAATAGGCTACCCTGTAAACTCGATCTTTCAATGAAGATTTCACGTACTCGGTCAATGTTGCACAGCAGAAAGCTTTTAACAAATGCACATCAATCGATGTTTCCTTCTCAACTAAATTTAAAGAACATTTACCCATATTAACTGCTAACGTCCTCTGCAAATTCTCATACGTACTGGCATCTAATACCCTGGAAGAATGAGTTTGGTAAAAGCAAGTTAACAGCTTAAATAAATCCAGAAGACACTTTCTGCTTAAATAAGGCTGACATCCAGGTAAAGATGGGGACAATCATTCAAAACATTTCAAGAAGGCTCTCTTAACAAGTATTTGGTTATTATACGATATGTGAGCTAGATGAAAGTGCCGCCTGGAAAGTTGGAAAGATATGAAAAGCGCAAAATATCAAGGTTGTTTCCCTTAAGCGAATCCCAGCTATTTTCATGCGATTATGTTAAAGATATCCTCCCTTCCATAGAAAACGTCAGACCTTTAGCAAAGCAAGCAATTCCTATTCACTTTCCAACCCGAGTTTTATGGGTGCATATGCTATGCACTATACGAAACATTAATCGCATAATAAATTTCCAAACCTTAGCCACGGCCATACTTCCTCTACCAAATCGAGCACCCTCCTAAAGCACCCACCGTCTTGGCTCCGTCCCATTGCAGCACACTTCACTAGCGTTAAAGTAGTCTCCACGACCAAGACACAGAAATCTTTGTCTCCACCGCTCTTATCCACTTCCGGGAGAAACTTGTTCTTCATTCTCACTGATTTCGAGGCATATCGAGTGAACCGAATCCTCTCCAAAATCTTAAGACCCTCAATCTCTGATTCATCGTACCGCCCACACACCTCTAAGCAATGCATCATTCGAAGTCTCATGAGCTCAACTGAATAAGGCTTGCAAGCCAATTGAGAAGCTACGGAATCCAAGCAATCCAAGCAAAGGTTATAAACTTGGAACAATTCATGAGCTAAGTCTCCCCCGCCACCGGATTTCGATAACTCCGACAGGCGCTTGGGTAGGATAGACAAACAGCGATTAAGAAACGAAAGATACTTTTTAGCAAGTGAACGGACTAGGGATTGTTCCTCGTTGGCCTTGGCCGATTTCTTGGTTCCCTTGGGTTTTCTTAGATCGTCAAATGGGTGGAGATAGTCCGAGAAAAGGGGGTAAATGCCTACGCAATCGGTGGATTCGAGTTTACAAATGAGAGATGATTCACTGGCGGAGGCCATGACGGCGACGGCAAGAGGGAGTGACGCTGTGACACCTTTATAACGAAGAAGGTATCGTGTTGTTTTGGGGAGGAAGGGGAGCGCTGAGTTTCAAAGGCGCGAATAGGGACAGCCGAATTCAAATTTACTCCACCAGTTCACTCTGTCTCTCATACTACGTTTAGACCCGGAAAATAAAATAAAAAAAAGTTGTGTAAAAAAAAAATATAGTAAGAAATAGTTTTTTCAAAAAATAAATTTAAAAGGAAAAATTAGAAAATGTTCATTATTTAGTTATTAATTATTATTGCTTAATTGTCAAGTGAACAACTTCTTACTTTTTTTTTTTTTTAAAGTGAGCAACTCTATTAACAACTATGTAGTAGTAATTGACAATTTTAATATAATAAATTGACAACTTTGATAAAAGGATATTAGGTTTTAAAGTTATTTTATTATTTTATGATTTATGATATCATTAGACTTTTTATATTAAATTTCTTAAGTGAGAATTGAGAATGATTTTTCATATTTATTTATAATGCCAACTAGTACTTGGAGACCCAAAAAGAAAAAAACAGAGAGAGAAAGAGCCCCAACGCTTAGATCATATTTTCTAATCTTTTATCACAAAGATCAACTAGATATTACATTGCAATGAGATGAGATTTGGAGGGGAGGGGGGAAGCTAATCATACTACCATGACTTATTTAGACCTAAAATCATTTTGGGAGTGTATAGACATTATTTAGAGTTATTTATTCAGTACTCTCCTTTTTTTGTGTTGATTAACAATGTAAATTGTTAAAATTTGTATCAAGAAAAATGTAATGAAATAATAAATTTAATAAAAATCATACACTATATTTAAGTACCTAATACAAAACAAATTGTCTCATTAAAAAATATTGCCAAAAAAATTAAGCATAACAAAATCTTAAGAAAAAAGAGGATATTGCATTCTTTATAATCTTACATTATTTTTTTAACACAATTACCTGAAATATGATACACCATATTTTAAAAAATGAACACACACACATGATGAGAGCAATGACAACACAAGCAAGCCTAATTGGTGAATCCTACTAAATAGGATCAATTACATAAATGGTATGATATTATTATGTTCTATCAACAATTAAATTTTTAAATATATTGTTTGCCAAAAAGGTCCGCCAAATAATTTTATTGATTGTTTTCTTCGTTATCTCAACTTTATATTCTTCTTGTCTATCTAAACCCTAACATTCACTGTCATAGGTCTCATTACAATTTAATAAAATTGATGTATACTTACTAAGTACTCTCCGATCTCGCATAATGACCATGATGACAATAAGAAGTCTGATCTTATGAGGTGAAGTCCGTTAGTCTGGTCAGACATAACATGTTAATAAAGAGAATGAGATTATCTTAAATGACAGATGGTAGAAAACAATCGGACAAGGCATTTGAACACGTTCCCAAAATTCATATTTGGTCCATTTGCAATTTTATACAACATCTAAAGTGGTTGTTTGAACTCTGAATGTCGTGAAATTTCCAACAACTAATCAATTCATTGTGAGGGTTCTGAAAACAATTGTTCCAGAAATAAAATGCTCAGCTGAGAGTCTCTTCCAAATATTGCCACTTTGTTAGAAGCAGCTTTCAATTGACTCATCAAATCAAAGTTTAAATGTAAAACCAGAAAAGCAACTCGAACTCAATACATTGGCATGACCCCAAGCTTTCCTTGGTCAACCACAAACTAATAAATTAAGAGAAAAAATACTGTGGCAAAACCAATTGCAACAACACGGTATCATGTAACTTAAAAGAACTCTTTGATAGATGAACTCCGTTTCCATGAAAGTGTCCACATGAACCATATCTCACCAAGGAAAAAAACATGGACAAGAATTACACACACTAATCATTCTAATTTCTAAGACTTTGTTCATGATGCTGTTGTGTCAGCCTTCTGATCCTCCAACAACTTAAGCTCCTTGCGCCAATCTTCTAGTTTCAATAGCTTTTCCAACTGTTCTGGCTTCAAATCCTGCTCTGCACCTTTCTGCTGCAGGGCTTCCGTAAGTCGAATCTGCACCAACAAATTAAATGTTATGAACTTATACTAGATAAAGGGAAGAACCCTAGAGAGATAGTTCTTACTCAATAACAAGAAGTCTTGTCCCACTATGTCAGATAGTTATATAGATAGCACAATGACATTGATCTCTTTCAACAACCAATTCTTGCAACGTACGATGCTTAATTCAACCAAAAACCATCCGTAGTGATCAAAGCAGTTGGGAAACGTTATATTATAATTGACTCAAAATCCTAAAGTAAAATTAAGCTTGTGAAGTGGTTTCCTCCACCAACAAATCTAGCTAGTATTTTCATTTCTTCTCCAATTCTATTACTTTTCCTTCAAATTCTACCAATCTCTAGTTTGGCTACTGGTTTAATTTGAAAATTTCCTACTCAACACAATACAGCTTGAAAGTTTTCTAATAAAAACACCAATCATCCAGAACAAGCAAAGCCAACCAAAATCCCAAGAGCTTCCAGAACCCAAAGTATCAACGTAATTGTATGTTATAGTAAAATAAAGAAATTCTCCAATCAAGACAGGACAAGAAATAGCCACATGAACCTCTAGAATTTCAGAAAAGCAGTAAGCAAACAACCAGTGAGGTAACTCTGCAATGCTCTAAAGGAACAGTTAGAGAAAAAGTGACTGCAAAAATTCATTCATAAATAGCCAGTAAGATTTTGCATTGTCATTCCTGAATTAGCTCATTTGGTAATTACTATTCTGCCACCAGCAAGCACCCTTGGAGCAATTTCTTTTCTTCTCTTAAAAGCTTCTACTCAAGTCAACAATAACTCTATGAATGACTCTCCCTAGTCTCCCCTAACTAAATGTCTCCAAAAAATTCATGTCATATCAACTTTCATTTTTAGCTAGGAACATTCTTGTTATGCTCTTTGTCTTTTTCTTCTGACTGCTGCAATAAAAATATTTCATGGAGGGCAACACAAATGCCAATTATAATCAATGCAAATATTGCTAACCCGTCAATAGATCTCATATTCTTACTCAAATTAATCACATAAACATGAGAGGATGGTAGGCTAGTTTCCAGTTAACTGAAAGAGGAACTACTAAAACCAGTCTTCACAAGACTTCTATTTGATCTGAAGGGCATAGCACTACTTAGACAGTGCTTGAGTTTTAGATCCATAGGACAAATTGGAGTGTGGATGACAGTAAGCTTAGGTAATCAAACGTTGGACTTCTTGCTAAACATGGACACAGTTGTTAGCCATCAATCATTGTCTCTTATCCAACTATTTATCAGCCCATGGGTTAGTTCCAGCTTGAACACTCATAATATCTTCGGAAAATGGAAATGTTACATGGAGAACAGTACGAAATATAAATAAAAATATTAACAAAAATAGCCAAAACAATTTAGATGAATCATGTGTACTGAATGACATTGATATCTAATTAGTTAATGCTCCCATGCAATGCACGAGGTAGCAAACACTAGTTAACAAAAATAGCCAGAATAATTGGGACAAATTAAAGTAGGTAAAAATTGGGATTCAATAATTCAAGGAGAAAGAAAGATAGTGGATCTATATGGACTCATTCAAATACTTGAATGAAGGGCAGTAGTTGTAAATTAATCAGAAAGACAGAAACTACAGAAAATGCCTAGATATGTTTTTAACAGAAACACAACAGGCAGAACAAGTTTTCCTATGAAGACAACCTAAGGCTACCTCACAAACTAGGAAAAAACAAAATGAGATGCAAGGTCATATATATTTCATTTCTCAGTACTCAGTCAAAGTGATAAATGATCTCCAACCATAAGTCATATTTGATTAATAGCAGCACCAAAGTAACCCAATACGATGTTCTTATACACAAACAAAGGAAATAAAACAGTAATGTGAGTTTAAACTAGCTAATGAAACCATGCTATGCCCATATACTCTAAACTAATAACAGCATAATATCTCTATGACCAACAAAAATAAAATGGTTGATCTCCAGTTTCATGCTTCATGCCAGATACCAGCAAAGGACAATATAATAATTCGCATCAAGCAATTGTTTTTAGAATAAGAAAAAGTAACAGTGACATATCTAGTTAGACTTGGTATGATTAAAATAAATTGTCGTGCAAAGAAAGCAGAGGAGAGGGGGAATACGGCTTAGGCAAAAGAGATAGATAATTTCACATCAATTGAGACATCAGGACAAACCACTTAGGTTATAGTAAAGATTACCGAAACTTGAAAGGATAAAAAACCTGATCTAATAGAGAATGTTGGAAAGTATGGTTGATGTACCTTCTTTTTTAGTGCTCGAATTCTTTTATCTATGTCTTGACTACCCACTGGGTCTGAACCCTCTGCGGTCTCTGATGCAGGGGTAACGATGGAAGAATCTCCAGAAACAGCTAATTCATTCAACTGAGACCGTAATGACATGACAGAGTCTGATATGTGACCTGAATTGTTGACGGGTAGTTCTTCTTTGTTGCTACTATCTTCATCTCCAGTTTCTTCCAAGTTCTTTTCCTTATCAAGAGCAGCCTGCAAGAGAAAATTAAAGGAAAGATAAGAGATCCTTGTAAATTATGAAACTTTCAGAACTTGTTCCTCTATCTTCACAACGAAGGAATACACCCTAAAAACACATTATATAACAACTAAAACTTGCTCTGGTCAGTCCTGCTCAAGTGCCAATAGAATAGTTACTTAAATTCAATCTCTGCAGGAACTTTATGGACAATTACAGGCAAACTAGCTGATATATTTTCGCAGCAAATAGCATCTCTTATATGCAAGAAACATAGATGTTCTTGTACAATACAATTAGAGGTCTGTAATTTAGCAATTAAATGTATGAATGAAGACAACAACACTGTTCATTTTTGCTCACTTCATGCTTATATTCTCACACATTATCACAAGAGCTCATCAAATCCTATGCGTTCCTGAACAATGAAGTTTTCAGGGACTCAGTGACAACTTGTCAGCACTGAGTGGCAAAAATCATGGATGATAATCACAATAACATAGCTTCCAAGAAATTATCCCATCACAAAAAGTTAGAAGTTTTTACCCAGGTCATTCCTTTGATTACTATGAATATAAAGAGGCTTCAAACTCACAGATAAAATGATTTTCTTAAAGATAGCCAACATAAGAAAAAGTGAAAGGAAGCCAGAAATAAGTAATAGCAACTAATTAAGAAGAGAACTCATTTCAATACTATATTCCTACATTACCTACAATCAATTCACAATGAAACATAATGTCTTACAAGGTTGGCAGTTAAAAAAAAAAAATGCTTCCCTGGACTTTCAACTCAATGGGAGTGAAGGTTGAAAATACTTGACCTGGGAAGCCAGTTGAATAAGGAATCATGGCAGAGATAGGTAACGTGAGTACATAACACACCTGAAGCCGCTTTTCCTTCTTTCTTTCATTCCTCTTAACCGACTTAGACTTGGGTTTCGCATCTAATGAAGGATCATAACCTGGAGGTCCAGCTTGTGAAGCCAGCTCCTTTTTCAACTGCATAAACCAATCTAGAGAATCAAAATGGGAAAATTAAAAAAAAAAAAAACAGAAGAAGGAGAAGAAAAGGAAGAAATTCAAGATAACTGCCAGGACGTCTAGCCCAGAAGGCTTGTAATATCCGTTAAGCTAGTTCTTTGTCAATTTGAATCCAGCGAGAAATAAAATATATTACACTTCGTGCTGGTCTAGAACATACTTAACGTAACAAGTTCTCTTTTCATCCCAGCCCGCAGAATTTATAAAATCCAATTAGTCAATACATATGGTGCAACATTATGTAATGATCTCCATCTTCTCCTAAAACAAGTCAATAAAAACCAAGGAAGATGTTAACAACATTGTTTCGATACGCACACGGGGTAATACTCTCCATTGGTATATCGACAGTATATGGGAAGCCTAAAAATCCAGACTTTGTCAAACTAAGAAGGTTCGCAGGTAAATTTCGCAGCAGTAGTCAAACAAAAGGTTATTAAACCTTAACAGAGAAACCATGAACTGTTACAAGGATTATGATAGAGGAAATCGTACCAGGGCACCTTTAGATTGATAAATGGCGACTTCGTCTTGAGGAACATAGCCAGCTCTGATCCGAATAGGCTTCCGGAGGGTACCATCGGGTCGCCGGCTTGGCGCGAGAATTCTCTCACCTTCTTTTAGGGTTTTGCTCAGTTCCGCTAACTGCTTCAGTTGATCGTCACCTCCATTAGTGGTAGCCATGGATGGTGAGTTTCAGGTAAAGATAATCAGCTCTTACGTATTCCAAATTTCCAATGTTGGATTCCTCTCTTGTTTCTATTGTAGCGCGCTCCTACTTCTCCCCATCCCAGCTGGTTCTACTCATGACATTTTTCTTAGAAAATCATGAAATTTTTTTAATTAACTAAATCATGTTTGAATTAGGGGCAATTAATCGAGCTTCTAAAATCAAAAAATCACAAATTTTTAAAATTTATTATGGAGATTGAGAAAATACATTACATTAGTTTTTAGTTATTTATAATTAATAATATGTCAACCTTTTGTAATACTTTTCCCATTTGTGAAACTCTATTTAATAATATGTTTAAAAACATAGAACACTTATTATTTTTAAAAATTATTATCTAATTTTATCCTTTTATTTATTGACGTGGTTTCTTCCGTCATCGTTTACTTCTGATTCTTCATTGTCTCTTTCTAATTCAATTATTGTAATTAGATGATTGATGGGGTTAAGGACAAAAAAAAGACAATGTCATTTTTTTATGAGAATAAGAAAATGACTAACTTTTATTGGCATAAAATTATAGTTAGGATTTAGGAATGACTTACAATTTGAATGAGAGGGTCCCTCTTGTCTTGAATGAATGAGCTAGATAATTAATTCGCATGTATTAACAAAATTAATCAAGTTAGTTATTTATTGAAAAAAAAATGTATTGATTTTCCTAAAATGCCCTCTTCAATCATTTGCATCAGAAATCACTCCATTGATGAAAAATCCTTTGAATTCGTGCCATCAATAGGGATGATTTAAAAGAAAAAAATTACTTACTCCGTTAAAAAATATAAGACATTTTTAACTGAATCTCACTCTCCAATAAAATCATTACCTACTTTTTAACTAATCCTATCTTTTCATATTTACCCCTATTAAACACTCTATAATAAATATAAAGTTATTATTAATAAGGGTACTTTTAAAAAAAGGCAATAATTACACATCGAAAGATTAAAAATGTTTTATATTTTTTAACATCTAACTTCTCAAAATATCTTATATTTTTAAACGAAAAGAGTATAAATTTAAGAGATAAAGTAAATTGAAATGTTATTTTTAAAATTAAAACAAACCCCTTCAAATAGCTCCTCCATTTTAAGACCGAATGGAGTAATAATTCTCTTTAAAGTGACAAAATGATGCATTTAATAGGATATTCTAAAAAATTAATATCGATAATTAATATGTTAACTAGATTCCTAAAACTTCTCCTAATGAGGTGTATTCTTTTGATTAAACTATCTCCCCTCCATCTCAAATCCAACTCGATCATGATATTGCTAAAACCATCGTTAGTTTGAATACTTGTTGCAAAAGTGTTTCTTGCAGCTACCATTCTTTTAACTTCAACTGAAACCCAAAATACTTATTAGAATTACTAATAAAGAGTTAAAAGTATATTCTGTTATTACTTTGAGAATGATCTTTTAGATATAGAAGTTTCCTCTTTTATTTAAAATGAGCTTATTTTTATTACAAATGTCAAGAAAATTTGTAAACTTTAACCCATGTCACTTACAGATGCATTTACTATTATATTTTTTGATGATAAAATTTGAATATTTTTATTTTAGATATGATGTTTATTTCCATTCATAAATGATACTTCTTTAGTTCTATTTATAAGATAGAGAGAGAAAAAAGTGTATCCTATTTATAAAGCACTTGTCAATTCTTAATGTTCATCTTTACATTTTTGCCTTTATTAAATACCTTAAATAAAAATACCACTAATAAGATTTAAGAACATTTATTAAGGGTAAAGTGAAAACTTGTTAAATTTTAAGACAAAATTAATGTGGTTTAAGATTTTTCTTGACTCCGATAAATATACTAAAAGTGATTATAAATAAGATGAAGGGAATAAAGTGAAAAATGTAACTTGAAATTGAAATATAAAAGAAAAATAGAGGTAAAAAATTATACTTAGCCATAAGATATAATTTTATATGTTTAAAAATTATTGAAACTTAATTAATGTATAAATCAAATTGAATTAAACTACCTAAAAATCAAATCAAACCAATCTTAATAAAAAACTTGATCAAGTGTCATTTTTTATGCAAACTGATTAAACTACATCTTTGATCACCTTGATTTATTTAAATATACTTTGCTTTTCAACTTCTCTTTACATTTTGTATAATTATTGGATGGAGTATAAATCTCATAACACACAGAATTTGCAGTAATAATTTCACAATTATAATTGCCATTGTCAATGATCTTGTCATATTGTAGGTTAATAGCATGTAAGCTCTCTATGAATGAAAGGCCATGGAGGTTTATAATCTTAAATCGTTAGTGTCTGGCTCTCTAATTTAAAAATAAAAAATAATGATTACTGCCGGCTGTGGCGATATAACCGTCAACTATATTATGTTTCTCCCTTGTTAGCTTTCTCCCGCTTTCACATGATCAACGGTTGTTTTAGGGAATCAATTACAACACATATTCTCTTCGGTCTAAAAAAGGACATTTTCTATCAATTAATGTTTGTCCAAAATGTAGGACACTGCAAAAAGTCAATAGCATGTATTTTTTTTCTTTTTTTCAAATGTCCTAATTAATTTTGTGGAGAGAGATTATATAAGAATAATAGTATAAGTAATATAAGCTGATTTTAATTGGAGTGTGCTCTTGGAAAGTAGTGATACTTTTTATCCATTTAATGATATAAACAGCTTTTAACAACTTTTCTCCAATCTTTGTAAAAGTAGTTAGGAGTGACTTATTTCCTCCGTTTATATATAAAAATATTTTTTATTAAATCACACAAACTAATAAAAAATAATTATTTAATTAAAAGTATAATAATATTTAATTTTACCCTAATTATTATAAATAAAAAATAAATCTCTTCTTCTAAAGTAAATTAATGAAAATGTTTATTTTTTTTTTTTCAATTTAATAAAAATATAATGATCTATTTATTAAAAAATAAAATAAAAAAGGTTCAAAAAGATTTTTTTATATATAGGGACGAGGGATTATATTCTAAACTGAAGGGAATAAAAATGATACGTTGGAAAAAGCTCATTTTGATAAGCTGTTTGGAATAGCTTGTCCCAAAAAAGAAGAGCTACAAATGGACTTTTCCAACAAAAACCTTCATGATAAATGTTCTCGCAACAACTCAAGTATTAAACTTAACTAAAATGACCTTTTTCTTTAAATTTAAATAAACTGGCCTAATAATGTGCTGTAACGTGGGAAAGAGAATAAAATAAATTCATTGTCACCCTTTGCAATCCATGTTATACATTAATTACATATAAAATGAAAGAAACTGCTAGTAATATCCTAAACAAGAGAATAAAAGAATATGACATATCTGTTCAATTCTGGTACGCTATTAAACAAAATTTTTCAACACCTTTTCGTTTGTACAAGGGTTGAAAGACTAATTGCAAAACAATACATGGGAAAATACCTTATTCCCTCTTGCCCTCCTCTGGATCGTTTTCTAGATCCAGTGATGCATTGTCATCTGCAACATTCTTCTCTTGCTCGGCTAAACTTAGTTCACTTTGTGGCTTTCCATTTGTGAGAGACTGTGCTTCTTCATCATCGGATTCTTCTCCCACTTCGTCTGAATACGCATACCTGCGCGTACACGAGAGAATATGAACGGAAATTAAGACATGTTGGATTACATCCTTGATAAATTGAGTCGAGTGAGTAAGGGTTCAAATTGGGTTAAATCATTATTTTATATTGTGATGGCAGTTACCGGAATAATTTAAGAGGGAGTAGTTAGAATTTTGCTATTCAAAATCAAGTAATTGCTAAAAATCCCTATCGTGAAAAGTAGGCAAGGTGGTTTTCAGCATTTGAATATTCAACCTGGGATTCCCATGTGGTGGAAATTTCATCGTCACTGGAGGTAAGTTTTCGGACTCTAAAATCTACAAGATACTTTTCTGAGCCAATTGAAGTGGACTTCACAATATGAAAAGCTACAAAATATATTAACTGCACCAATAAACATAACACCATCCTGTCAAGAACTTTAGGAGACTTGAAGGTTGCTGACAAGGATGACACATTGGCAGGGTAAAAACAAACAAGATCCTTGCAAGATAAAGCACAAATTGACTTCAACTCTACTTCTCTGTTTATGTTATGAGAGAATTCTCCAGCTAAAGTCCACCTCGACAAATGCATTTCTTTTTCCGATAAATCGTGACATATTCATTGATGTAATCCCTTTTTCTACCCAACCTGATAAATATTTGAGCTTTCACCGTGTTAACCCTCATAATACATCTATACTTTGAGTTGATCTTTATGTTTTTATGAACAAAAGGTCAGATGTGGCTGCAATTTTGAACCTAAGCCCATTATATCTCCCCAATCCAACCCAACAAGTTTGCCTGTCAAATGACAATCTCCCAAGGAGAGCATTGTGTCTAAATTTTTTCTTTGCAATACATATTTTGCCTCATTTCTAAGGCTTACATGATGGGTATATTTCCAAGCTCGTAGCTAACCTTTTGTCGAGGTAATAACTGTGAGAACAGTTTTCCGTATAAGTAATGAAAAAAAAAATGTTGAGACAAATATGTTAAATGCATAGAAATTGAACAATATAATGCACCTTTGAGAGCTTTGAGATGGGGCCCAGAGATAACATATAACACATAGCAATGCAAATGCAAGAATGTCCCAGAAGGCGGTAATAAACCAAGCATTCTGCCATCGCTCATTGAAAGGATCTGTAGCTTTGAAGTATACCTGCAAAAAAGATTGTAGTAAATGGTAAATGTAACAAACACATTAAGTTGTGAGAGCAGTGTTTCTATTAGTAAATCGTCATACAAAAGGAACACCTCACCAAGAATTATCAGTAAATCATGAGATAAGAAGCTAAATATGGAAACAAATGGAAGCCAAAAGCAATTCAGATCATGATAAAACGTGTAGTCGGAATAATAATCTCAAATGCATCCTTGGAGTACACGGGGGTAGATTTCGGTCTTAATATTTCATTTTTAGACGCAAAGCCTGGCCCCACAGTATTGAGACACCTTGCACAACTCCACTAATTAGAAGTGTAAAAAGGCTAGATGCATATATCC